GCCCTGGCAGTTCCACGTTGTATCATATATGTTGTTTGGAATGAGGCAACTGTTATCTTTAAAAAATCAGGGATCAAGGAGGTCAACCGTGGTTGCATCGTCTTTGACGACCCTACTGTTGTGAGAGATGAATAGGATACCCCTTTGGCCTCTTTTCAGCCCGTTTTGGAAGGGTTTTCCCAGAGTTGACCCTGAAACTGCCTTTGAGAACAGTTAACTGTTCATCGCGAATTTTCCAGTGGTTTTGGCCCTGATATTATCACGAATGTTAAAAGCGTTGGTCACGATAAAAAAGTCATTTGGTTTATGACACAGCTGGTTGATTTTCAAAAGTTTACTCCAGTTACCTTAAGTGGATATGGTTGTTTTCTCTTCTTGGGTAGGAGCTCGGAAAAAAGGACTAAATAAACGAAACGGGATGGCTTGTTGGAAAGGAACTATGAAGCATTGCATCGTTGTCAGTGGATGAGAAGAAGCTCTGTCAACCTTGACAGCAAACTTTGGGGCGCTGGACGTCCCAAGTTAACCTTCGAGAAGTTTCCGGCGGTTCTAATAGGGGCAACAGCTACCTTCTTGTTTCTCAGATGCCATATAAAGATTCAAAGAAACGTATTGTGATCACTACCTGGAAATTTCAGCTCTATGGGCTTACTAGCCATAAGAAACTTGCGTGCGAACACAGGGTCTGGAATGCCTTTCTTGGGCGTGTGAGGCTACGTTTTTATTTCGTCCGCGAAATTCCACCGCGTCTGTAAAATATCCGTGGCACTTGGGTGTTCTGAAAGCATCCTATTGGATGTCAAGCCCATTAGGGCACACTTTGGAATTTTTCACTTGAAGCCAAGGGAGGCTGAACACCTGAATATACCACCATTGAGGCTTAGTAGGCGGTTGTCAGAGTAAGTTACGTGGTGTGAACATCCTAAAAACCATGTAGTATAGCCGGAAGGCATGCAGTCAGTTACGGCAGTACCGAATTCCCACTCAATGAAGGGCCATGTAGATTCTTATTGAAAGTAACACCACCACTTCCCTGTTTAGTATCGCTCGGGCTTATGGAACGAGTATACCCGCCAGAGCTAAGCAACCTGTAGCCACTATAGTCTCCCAGCCCTGCATTTATCATCACTAAGGAGGACGGGTTATGAAGTGATAGGAGAAACTATACACGAGAAATTCCATTTTTTAACAGAGAAAACAGTGATAAGAATAGGGATGAGCGAAAGTATAGCTTGCCAGTAGCTTTGCCGAGAAACGGAACGATAAACAGCATGCATCAAAAATGACTGATATGGATGAAGGGTGATGGGTGGAAGTGGGGCAGGCTTGCATTCTTATAAAGGGTCGCTGAGTATCAACGGCGCAAGTTGCTACTGCTGCTCACAGAGAGTGCTCCTACAGAACTGGACAAAATTCATGTCACTTTCAACGGGAGAGAGCCCAAACCATGGTGAAACCTTCGAGCGGATTATCTAGATATTCTGCAATTCAAGTTAAAGCTTTCCATACATGGTATCTGGGCTGTGTGACACCAACCTTCAAAGGATGTAAGCAGAGGGACCTAGGGAACTACAGGTCGTTGGCCCTTTTATCTGCACCTACCAAACCAGCGGAATCGTCAAGTTTTGATGGGCCAAACGATCGGTTTATGTCATTGTACTTCTTTATGTTTCGTTAAAATGAATTTAAAACAGTATGCTGTCCCATTTCAAACTCGTTTGCAGCAGTGGATACGTGAATCAGTTCTGTTGACTGTAAAGGTAAAGTTTCTATTATTTTTCCGTGTTTTTCAAAGCTGCTGATCATGTCAACCACGTCCGGTTTATTGGTGGAACGAAGCTAACCGGCATTAGTTCACCAACAATAAACCGATTATCAACGTACTCATTTAGGGTCAGTGTGGGTCCTTCCGTGCCCGAAGAGAGATAGTGCCCAAGCTTGGTTCTCCAGGGTTCAGTAATTTAGACACTTCTTCATATAAACAGACGAACGACTTACCTCAGCAAGTTTCTTCGGGAACCGTGCATTTTCTCATGGCAGCAAGACCATAGGAAGATTCTTCATTTAAGGGAGGTTCGGATTTCTAACTGGAAGACCTAAACGGACTTTAAAACGAAGAAAACAACTGAATGATTGCATTTAATCTTGAAAATTGCAGCTCGTTCATCTACGGCATGAAACACACCATACATATAGTTTCAAGTTCATAGGCTTGGAAGTTTCAGCCAGGGAGCAAAATTTAGGCAGTTCAATCCTTAAAACCTTCTCTAAGTTTCGGAAAGTTCAATTCTAGATGTTCAATCAGATTTTCAGCACTTTCTTAGGCAGTCATATGTACTACAGGGCTGTAGTCTTCCCACTCTTTACCCGGTGATAAAATAGGCCTGAAAAGCAGCCAGAAGTGGTCAGCCAAGCCTCCGTCGGGGCTAAAGCCTAAGGTACGCTAGTAGCGACTAGTAGCGCTTGATTCAGATCACTTGACATATGAAAGACAGGGTGGGGATTTGGTATTTAAGCACAGCATTTTCCCTACTTGTGAGAATTTACCTCGGCATTTGCCGAGTTTTGTTTGTAACATAGACCCCAGGTGACAAAAACAGAAGTTCGTCTTGGAAAATGACGTACTGGACGTCACGCGCAGCTTCTACTCCTTGACAGCGGTAAGATTTTAAATGTCTTCCTTGCAGAAGTGGCTCAAGTGGTTTGGTTAGAACTCTTGAGTCACTAACTTCCAATATCCAACAAATTTTTAACGAGGTTGCTTAAACCAGTTGATTTCTTCTTGCTCGCTTATTGGTTTCGCGGAATGGTTCCGGGTCTTTGGCGGATTCCGATGCAGTCACTCGTCTGCCATAGCCCTGATTTACAGAACAGGAAAGTACGTGTTGCTTTGTTTGCCTTGGACTGTGGTGCAGTTGGCTTCTCCAGATGTCGAGTTGCCAGGCAGTTGTTCGGACCGGTCGCCAGAGAGGGTTAGGGCTAGTGAAGAGAAACCTAGAAAGGTGTTTGTGTAGGTAAAAAGGGAGAAGAAAAGTGAGCTAATGGAGTAATCTACTCACACCTAAGTAAGGTGAGTAGGGGAGCAAAGGTATGAAGAGCTTGGGTGAGTGGGGCTAACTCATGGCGAGTGGAAGGGATGAAAAGGGCTTAAATAGTTACAATAGAAAAAACTGGTCGGGGTGGCTTGACGTCACTTCGTGTTCCAGCTACATGTGGGTAGACAGTGATTCTCTGACTGACTAGATTACGTGGTTATGTGGAAACTTACAGGTTCTCAACATCGCTAGTGTGGGTTCTTCTGGTACCCGAAGCTATAAATACAAGAATTTACGGTAAAATAGACGTTTATACAGCTTAACGGGGCACCACGAAGACGAATCAAACAAGTCGATTGCTTATAACGGAAAGTTAGAATTTCGCGTGACCTTGATGCCACTAATGGTGAAAAAAGAAAGTGTGACTGAAAACGATCCAAACATTGACACTCTGTATACGCTGAAAATTTGTATTTTTGTTGATTATTTCATGACTTGTGTAATCTTCTGATGTTTTTAATCCGATTTAATGACCTCCACTCCGTACCATTTAGATCCCATAAAATCCTGTAAATTTCCCAACATATATCAATGTGATGGTGCCTGTAAACTGGCTTCTCCCACGTTAAATTACTAATGTGAGAGTAAAATATTTATCATTTATTATTATTACTGTCTAGCCTCTTTTTGAAGCTTTCAGCAGTTGGGGCGCAGGCCACCCTTGCCGGTAGTGAGTTCCAGACCCCGCAGACTCGGAGGAAGAAGAACTGCGAACGCACATGAGTTTTTGACCTTCAGTGGGCCGTTCTCTTAGGGTCTCCTCGAGGATCCCCGCAGTGGCCGCTGGGTAGAATTCTTCTTTTCGAGTGACTTGGGTTATTCAGTATTTTGTGAGCCACTATCGAATCACCTCGAAACCTTCGGTGGCTAAGGGGTATAGGCCCAGATCTTTCGGTCTATCCTCATATGGTCTTCGTTGCATTCCAACAACCCCTTTCGTGGCTCGCCTCTGGACTTTCTCCAGTAAGCTCATGCAACTTTCCAGTTGTGGTGGAGTGAAGATGTTATGGACCTCTAATTGGGGCCGTACGCAAGTCTTGTAGAGCTTCATAAAGAGTTCTGGGGTAAGGACACCCAGTTGTCTACCCACAGAGTGCAGTACGCCATGTGTTCCTGAGGCATCTCCTAGTCAGTTGGAACCAGTGTCCAGTTTTTTCATCACCGTTAAACCCAGATCTTTTTCTACTGTGGTATGGGATAGACATGTACCACAGAGATGGTAAGATACTTTCTGGGGATCAGGAGTGCGGAAAAACACGGACCGACACTTATCCACGTTTAATGCCAGTTTGTCATTAGTCGCCCATTCCTCTAGTGTTTTGAGGTTGTTCTGTAATGCCATAGATTCCGCTTCGCAAGTTACTGCCCTCCATAACTTGACATCATCAGCGTATAGGAGAATCGGAGAGCTGAAATGTTACGGCAGGTCATTTACGGACAGTAGGAACGGCAGTGGACGTAGGATCGCTCCTTGTGAGATATCGGATGAAAATGTTTTCCAAGTTAAGCATACCCTGTTGGCTTTCATGCAGAACTCCCTATTATTTAAGTAGCTCTGCAGCCACGATAGCACCTGACTGCGTATACCTAACCCAGTTATCTTATGTATTAGGATATGGTATGAGACAGTGTCAGAGGCTTCGGCGAAGTCCAGAAAAAGTTAACATTCATTCGCGATGCTTTTGTTAAATAAATCACGGCCTACCTACTTTCCGTACCTAATCGTGCTTGAGAATACAATGTAGTTCAGGTGACCATAGCAAACCGAAAGTTTTTGAACCATTGCTCTTAGATATTTCTCTGTGGATATTTTATTTGCACTTAAGTTAGCAATCGAAAGACTTGGGTTCCATTTCTTCATTAGTTACCAACTATCTGAATTAATATGAAACCATTTAAATGAATCTGAAATTTGTACTTATCCGCGGCTATTTGGATCATCCGTGCATGTGGGAATTCAAAGTGTAGTTTGGTAAATTTCTTCTTCATGTATAAGCTGTGATTATTATTCTGAACTTCCGTGCACAATAATGATTATTAGTGCAAATGATTTTTGAGTTATTCCTCATGGCAGATTCTCCACTATTGGATTCCAAATCTTGTCTGACATTGTTAAGACTGCAAATTCGTTCTGTTACAGAAAGCACTCTGAACTACATCTCTAACAGTGCTAGAAGTCCTTATTAACGTCTTTGTGTGTTACTTGTTTTCAGCTACTTTAGTGAATATCTTGTTACTGTACATACAGCTTCTAGATGTACAAGAATTTCGATAGGGAGAATAACTGCGTTTTGAGTCTTGAGACCGATCGGTACATAAGTTGATCGTTATGGATTGTTCTTGCATTACAACAAACTCAAATGTGTTTGGCCCCATATTGGATCATTTTACATCATCATGAGAAAAGCTCGAGTTTTTCCGGGGCGATAATATACATTCCTTAATACTTACTAAGTTTTTATGCAACTAGTTTTATCTCCGGTTTCCTAAGCGTGTTATAAGTTTTCTTACCTTTTTGAATTGGTTTATAGGTTCTGTGTCTGTGGTTTAAGTTATATTTGTTGAGTCGAATGGTCAGTTGTTAATCTGCAAAATTAGGATTTCTGTTCACAGTGGGTTTTAATTCCTAGTTCACGCTTATGCTTGTCTAGCTTAACATTTAAATGTGTGATATTGGTATCTACTTAGTCCCAAGAGAAAAAGTAAATCGGAATCCACATTGCTCGCTAAAATCATTTAGAGTGTAAAGTACAGACTGTGTTACTGCCGTGAATAAAATTAATTTATCCGAAGAAAATTTAAAAATAATAAACATCTCATGCTTGCCAGATTCACCGACTGAGGAGGCCTAGACATGTATTGAGCATACTGAACCACCACCTACCTCGACGTGCAATGCTGGGAAAAGTTAGATTAGGTTGGAAACAGGCTCAGGGTGGCGAAACCACTACGTAGTACTACCCCATGAAGCCTGACTATTGTTGTAGACTGTGTAAAAATGTCTAGGCTCACTAGGTTCTCGGGGACCAGAGTAGATAATGATTAGAAATCCTTGGTTAAATGGCTGGAAACTGATCATGATGGTATATATGCACTTACTCTAAGTCGTCTTCTAAAGCCTGACCATTTTCACTAATCTTGATTGTCGAATTAATTCTCCTTCAACGCACTTTTGTCTACTTGATATGTTCTATTCAGGATGTGCATAATTAACAAAAATTAAGGGTTTTCTAACCTGATGTTAATATTGTCTAATATGTTGACGCTGAAATGTTCTATCGAGCGGATATATATATATATATATATATATATATATATATATATATATATATATATATATATATATATAGTTTATTCATATCTTAGTTATTATTTTTCAGCCCCGAAATTACTGATAGCTTTTTTGATAAGTTATTTTACTTCTCGTAAACTAATTTTTCTTTTTTAATTCTTGATTACCATATCAAGTAACTATTACTGATTACACCTAATAGTCCTTAAAATTTGTTTTTAGATGCTAGCGAAATGTCTGCTAAGGATAATCGTGGATCTTATTGCGAGATATAGTATCAGCTAGTCTGCTGTTGTCACTTATTCAGTATCAGCATTCTTCTGTTTAAGTGAAGTGTTAATCGAATGTGTGGGTGGTTCACTGCGTAACTGGTTTCACTGCTTTGCCCGAATTCGAAAGTATGAGATGTTATGGGTTGCTGAACCAACTCTACTACTTCACAGCTTGGTCATGGCATCAAATAATCAAATCAGTGATAGTAGAGCTGATCGCTATCATGTTGTGTGTGTACCTTATTATACATTTCGCTGCCATCTATGAATCTGAAGTCTCAGAGACAGTTAATTTGACTAACCAAGTTCATAAATTATCAAATTCTTTAGAAAAACATGTAAGTTCGAATTCCAGTATAGTTTGGTTGTTGATAAAGTATTAAACGTTTTCTAATTTTAACGAACACCAGATGGACTATCTATAAACAAAGTAAAATTTAGCAGTTTCTTCCTTGTGTAACTTAATTTATGTTGGGAAGTTGCTGCTGTATTGTCTCAGTTGTTTAGTGCAACATATTCATCATGAAAGTTGAAGTTTACAGGTTTAACTGCAAAAGGACTTGGTTGCACTTAACGTCAAATGGATCAAGAGAATGATAAAGCGATTTCATTGCACCATGCAGCTATCAGTAGTTTTTATTAGTACTGACTGAGCATTTGAATTTTATTTTGTTAAATTTCATACTAATGACGTGTCACCACATCAAAACATTAATTTCATCCAAACATTTTGAATACCTTGTTTACTGTTCGAATATTAATGTCTTCTAAATACGTTTGAAAGTAAATAACCTATTGTTTAGATCCAACGTCGTCATTCTGGTCACGAAACAAATTGGATCGATTCCAGTGTTCTGTTAATTTACATGACTGGATTAAATGTGCATGTACGTAATGACTTTAATGTAGTAAACACTACTAGTTGAAAAAAATGAATGGAAACTCTTCGAAGTTTTGTTGCTATTTAGTGATCTCCATCCGTCAGTAGTGAAGTTATGGTACGGTGCTTTAGGAAGGTAGACTAAAGTAGGACGTCGCACAAAAGTGAATCGGTTTGTTATGACACTTTCCACCAACGCAAAAATTAGGAACAGAAGTAGGATGATGCTAAGCTAAACAAGAAGAGTATAAGAGAAGAGGATGAGGATAACTTTCGGAATCTAATTGAACTTACGCCACCATTGAGTCCGCCTTGTTTAGCTCTTAGCATCTTGAATGCCATAACCTATATGATTTAAACCAAATATCAGAAACTGATTCTGTAATATCTTAGTCCTGACATCCATAACTTACTGTTGGCTGAATCCATTGCACATCAAGGAAGATGATTAGATGTGCGAAACACATTTTTTGGTTCACTAACTGAATTGGCTTTAAAAATGCAAAAACAAGGAAAAATAAACTCAGTAACACAGTCGAAAGTAAACAATGACCCATCTCATGTCACCTCCAACTGTGTATATCAATTCACCTATGCATGTGAAAGCAAGTTCATAGGACGGACCAAAAGAACGGCGTCTACTGGATTTTATGAGCATATTCTGATAAATATGTTTGAAAGGTAGCAGAGTAGTTACAAGCGCAACCGTCAGGCACCCGTCAGAAGCAGGACGTCAAATAGATGTTTCTCAATCCTTTAGGATATTCAACAAACAGAATGCTATGTTCATTATGGAGCTGTGGCTCATTGGTTTAAGGAAATGACTTTCAACCGATGCGTCACGAGTTCGAGCCCCGCTCTACCTACCGAGGTTTGTTCAGCCATTTGGTATCATTAACCTTCACACATTAGGTTTGGCTCATTTCCTACTGCACGAGTATGCACACGGCTGATAAGTGCACTTCAAGTTTCAAATCGATGGTTTAATCTAGCAGGTGCTAAATTAGATCTGTTTACACATATTCACATGTAGTCCACAACCAAACTATCAGCACATATGTGACTGTATAGGTAAGTAGAGTTTCCAATATGCTTAACTGCCTTATTTTCTGTTTTCAGATCCGATCTTAGGTCAAATCGATTGTGTGGCGTCTGTGACGTTTATGTGTGTTGTTTAGAGTTTTCAACACCAATTAGGATAGCATAGTGTTGGCGTGACAAATGTAATGTGTAACCTAAGTGTACAGCTTAAAAAACAACAGTTAGAACAAGTATCAAATTGAAATCGAAGTATACTCAGCAACCTTTAGGACACTTGTGCGGCAGGAAATGAACCAAACCTGTCGTGTGAGGGCTAGTAATACTACCTGGCTGCGCAAATCGTGGTAGACAGGGCGGTGTTCGAACTCGTGCCTCATTGGTTAAGAGTCAACTTCCTAATCCAATGAGCCCAAGCTCCACTAGGTTTAGTATAAGTTGTCATGTAAGTGAAAATGAGTTCTATGGAATATATGTGGGCTATATTCGTGAATTTCATTCGAATATATATACGTTTAGCATATCAAAAAACTAAGTGTTAAATTTGTGAGTAAATTCACTAAGGCTTCACGAGATTCATTTTCATTTACTAGTCGCATGCATTACTTAGATATGCAGTGTGTCTGTTTTTTGAAGAGGAAGTCAGTTACCAGAGGAGAAATTAGCTGGTTCAGTGAATATAGTTTAGGAAGTTATTATTGGACTGGTTTCCTGTTTTACTTTGACCACATTTACACTTTTCTGTGTACACCGACGTTTTTATGTCAACAGTTTACCCTTATTTTTGTGTTTTCCAGTTAAAGCTGCAAACACGGCTTCATTCTGTACTGGATAAAACACATGCTGCGCCTGAAGTGGTTATTATTCCAATTTTGGTCATAGCCTGCAATCGTCCCACTGTTAAACGTCCCATAGATAAGTTGCTGCAATTGAAGTCTGAAATGCAGAGGCAAAATGCTTTCATATTCCCCATTTTCGTTTCTCATGCCTGTCACAATCAGGGTACTGAAATCGCATTAAATTCTTATCAAAATATGATTACTGTCATAAAACCTAACGTTCCGTTAACTAACCCAAGTGAGTTTGGATATATATATGGGATTTCATTTATGTTGAATTATTCAACTGGTGAATGTAATAACTTATGGTCCAGGTGTAATCCAAGCATGACGATGAAGATATAAAATAGGGAAGTTTACAGTTGTTTGTTCATCGGTGTCTTGGTGGTGTATGGGGGAACCATAGTAGGGAATGCTGTGATTAGGCATAGAGTACTAAAAAAGTAAAGCAAATCATCAGGTAAAGTTGTGAAACTTCGTCAACTGAGTTGGCGTAATCATGTGTTGTGCTAACCTTTACGCTCACTGTTAACTGAAGTAAGATTAGATTAAAATGAGCTAGTGAACTTTGTCTAGATGTTGGAAATCAATGATTGGAGACTTGATGGATCGGTCATAATGTTGTAAATGTATCTACTCTTTGCTACTTTCAAAATTTTGCACATTTTGATAAATCTTCACTTTTGTATACTCCCACTTCACATAATTTTATCTACTTTTTCAATCCACTTCTTCATTACATTCTTCTGTAGTGTGCAGCAACTTTTATGTACTTCTGTGCAACGTTGTGTTTTGATTTACCTGTTTGATTTACGATTTGGTGTCTTGAAGTTAGATCATGGTTATTTTGCCTTGGTTACAATTTTTATGCATGACTGTTTAATTTGATAGATGTCCCGGTTCTTGAATCTAAATATTGTTGGGTAATATATACACAGTCACTTGGCCAACATCTTGGGCTTCTAATATTCATTTAGTCAGATACTGGTAGTCATTTGATAACAGTTAACCGACTGTATCAAATTGTGAAGTAAATATCCAGTTTCAGCCATCTAATGCAGTGAACGATTAGTTAACCCAGTGACCACTGCAGTCGAATTGACATACAGAATTTATAATTATAAGTATCCCTAATATCCAGTGAAGTGTGGTCAGTTCTTGGTCTTGTTCGCATATGTCTAGTCATAGTAACCAACATCCCAAACTTTTATTACACTTATAAGGTAAGGTGAGATATTCACAGCTTGTTTGATAAATGCCCTTCTTTCTCCACATAAAGCGGTTACAGGTTTTTGATCATGTGTCTTCGTAACATTGCTCGCGTTTAGTGGGATCGTCGTGTGAGCAATGTTGAGGTCATGCGAAGGGTGCTAGGCAACATAGACAAGTTGATTAATGATGTTGTGAACCTTAATGGAGTGAGATGGCTTGGACATGCGTTGGGCATGCTAGAACCGCCTACATCGATGCTTCATGGTGGGGAAAGTTGGGTTACATTGAAAGTGGGTTGAGGGTGACCGAACCGAGATAGGGCACCAGTCGATGAAGTTTCTGACTGTTGGTAAGAGTCGTGTGGGCTGGGCTTCCCGGAACGAAAGTAATCAATGGATGAGGACTGGTTCTTGGGGACATGTCTGGAAATCAGTCACAGTGAGGGAGATGTATACACTTCTTGACATCTAATGCTTGAATATTTGCACTAACTTTTATCTTCAAATTGTTTATCCTCTAACACAACTTCTTCCACTTTCGCATCATTCTTATCCTATCCACCTGTTCTTCGCATACTACTGTGAAGTGTGGCAGCTTGAACCGATGCACGTGTGTACGGGGTTCTATGTTGAGTTTGTCAGTCAATGTCAGTCACTTTTCTCTTAATGATACCATTAACTCCTAATTATGATAAGTATATCTGAAATTAAAATTGGAACCTATAAGTCTACATTCTTTCACACAAATGAGACCTTGTCAGCGAATTCACGAGATGACGCAATAATATTTAAGTTCAGGTACTCTTAATTTTTTTTAACCTACACACGCATGTCCTTTCCTAGCCACTCCAGTCGATGAAGATTTAAAGGCTTACGAACTAACCTATTTTTTTTTATATAAACCTTTTTATAACGTTAATATTATTCACACTGTGGTTCCACGACAAACAGGTGACTCTACGAAGGCAAAAACAACTGAAGGTCTGAAGTCTAATTATTGCACTTTCTTCAACAGCTATGTTTTACAAACATGCACCAGGATAGTAAACACTATTACATGGTACACCCAACCATTAGCGTATAATCAAATGTTATTAATGCTGTGTGTCGAGAAAGTTGGCTAAAGCCAATCGATCTGAGAATTCATGATCCATCTGGGCTGATTTAAATCCACCAATAAGAGATATCAATGCGTCCAACCACTTGACTCAGCATTTCGAAAACTATCTTGCAAGTACCTTCATACAACAGGATCATACTATCCAAGTGCTCTACGTCAACTAAGAAGTCTTCAGAGTGAACATATTTTGCTTTGTACATATATATTTCATATCTCATTGTTTCGTTCATCCTTTATTTGGCTTCAGTATTATTCTCAGCATCTTTTATATTACCTTACTTTTCTTTTCTTCCCTTCATTGTACTTTTGCGTAGTATGTTATGTGGATATGAAGTCGTACTAGTCGCTACGTGGGTTTTGCCAGTTCGCCTGTCTGTTGACTAAAGTCGTTAGGCTATATGGTTGTAGATGCCATCCCAACGATTTAAGTTATAACGGCTACATTTTTGCTGTGTGCTGTCACATAATATTTTTAATTCACATTCTAGAAGAGTACAACTGAGCACTCTCAGCTACCTCATAAATATTCATACGCCAATAATACTACCAGGTTGCCCAAACCTCGGTAGGTAGAGCAGGGTTTGAATCATTGACCCATTTAATTGGAAGTCAGCTACCTAGACCAGTAGATCACAGCTACATACTCACACTGTGTTGCATGGATTCATATTCGTGTTTGATTTGATAATGTTGGCGCATAACTTTCAACTGTTGGACCACAGGTTTAAAATTCACTCTACGGACCTAAATTTAAGCATTCATTATGGTTTGCAACCAAATTTGTGAACCTACATATAACTACTTATTCCTACTCCTTTCTTATTTTACATTGTACCAGTTGTAAAGCGATAAGCTAAATGAGTTTATTCTTGCCTTTTCGTCATAGGGCGAAATATTCAAAAAAGCAGGTTCGTATGCTGTGAATTATCTACTGTGAAATCAAAAGGCAATTTATAATAGTAGAAACTGTCATTAGATCTAGTTCAAAATGATCATGATTTCGTTAATGTCGACGACTAGTATGTATTTTCTCTGATCTATGAACAGTGACGTGCAGAGTTATTTGGAGTATATATTGAAGCCGGTAGATGTCCACATACTGTCAGTTACAGCTCTGGTAATTTGACCTGACTTTTTGAAACACTAAATAAAAATGCCATACTTAACTGCAGACAGGAGTTTGGCTATGCTTTTCCTGTTTTCTATGTATTTATTTTTGGGGAATTAATTATCGTAAATCTTGTTGGATTGTAGTTTAAAAGTTATGCATTATCCTGTTCGCAGCTACATTACCTGGTCGACGTGTGTTGGAAGGTTACAGGCATGTAAGCCATCATTATAAATGGGCCTTGGATCAAATATTTTTAGTGCATAATTACTCTGTCGCAATAATTGTTGAAGATGATCTGGATTTGGCTCCAGATTTTCTCAGCTATTTTGCTGGTACATTTTCTTTGTTAACTCAAGATGAAACACTTTTCTGTGTTTCTGCTTTCAATGACAATGGGAGACCACAACTGATTGATGTTACGCATCCGGAATTGTTGTACAGGTAAGTAAGGGTTTCTACAGTAAAGTTCTAGAAAATCGGTCTTAAACCTTGTTTCACAACTGCATTATTTTTGAAATGCTAACTATCGATGATATTTCCTGACAGCTATGAAAAAATGGAATTTTTATCATCGTAAACTACTTACGATATGTTTTTTTTATCAGTGATCAGGTGTATGAACAATTTAAACTGTTGTGCATATCTTAAGGTATTCAAAATTATGCAGGAAAAATACGACGGACATATAACTGTACCAATGTATAACTTTACACCGAACTACACAGATTTAAGTTAACGTGTAATAAAACCACTCGAAGTAGAAAGCTAGTAGAATCAACAAGAAACAGGGCATGAACGATCATTTCACTTAAATTTTTTTTTAACTACTGATCTTTTAACATCGTTAGAGGACTAATCACAGACCTTAAACTTGCTTGCAAGTTTCAGATCAACAACCAGTGACTTCAGCGTTTAATTTTATGCCTTGACCCAGCTATTGTTAACTTTCTTCCACTTTAATCCTGCTGCAATCATGAATCCACATCAAAGTATGTAGTGTTTCGAAACGTGAAACTGGCTTTCCAAACTTTTCAGTAAATACAAGTTTACGAATTCATCGAACTTTACTAAAATCTTTTCGCTTAACTTCAGTAACATTTACTTGCTGGTCCTACTGAAAGTGAGCAGTGTCATGAGACCCTATTATGGTCTTTAACCTTATTTTTTGGGTACTTAATTGCCCTCTCTGTGTTACAGAATACCGTAGAGAAGATTACTGATATATCTCATCTTCTAAAAATCGGTAAGTACCAAAAGACCCTTGTGTAGTTTGTTTGGGGTTCATTTTAACTACCCAGAAAGGTTCATAAGACATCTTAAATGAATAACAACTCCACACCCTATTCTTAAACTAGCTGCTGTAAACACCAGTCTTTGAATATTGTCTTACGTTTGGTAGGCATAGAAAAACACATTGAATACTATAAATTATTCGATCAAAGTGTATAGTAGACTTTTCTGTTTTGTCATCATCATCAAACAAAAGTGATTCATTTACGTACTCATTGTCAATCAAAGGCTTCTCATACTAGAAGATAGTTGCTGATGTAGACTGATTGCTTGTTTTTTCTCAAAACATTTTCAACAAAATGGGTGGGGATTTATGAAGGATGCCTCTTTCGAACTATCACTTGTCATCTCAGATGTTAACTTCTTTTTAAACCTAACAGCATCACATACTTATTCCGAATCACCTTTCAAGAACAAGCTGAGGCATATGAGTTCATTTAAGGAAGTATCAGTGAATATGAGTGATTAACTGTTAGTAAATGCTCACAGCGAATTGTAAGAAGACCTAAAGCACTTCTGTTGATCATCCTTAGTCACTTATTCTTAGTGACTCTGTTAGCTGTAGTGAACACTGTGGGAAGGATAATTGATTGATTGAACAGGTGGTGGAACAAAACCAATGAATAGGGTGGCTTAATGATGACTGCTCACGAGAACTAAACCAGTGCTGCAACCCCTCAAGTAATGTCAAAAGGTAATGACTGACTGGTGAATAGTTTTAATGAAATCAAGAGCTAAGTTATATACACAATAACACATATCTACAAGTCGGTTCGAAAGTCACTCAATAGATTAGAATATTACCCAGGATTCACTAACTGACTGATTAGACTAAGACTGGTGCAATTTCTGATTTCTGTATAAAAAAACTGGTTACATTGACGTATAAACTAACTGTTGAAAAAATTTGTGGCTCACTTTTCTTTTGTAGTTTGACCTTTTGTAGATGATGAATATTTTTTATCGATCGAATTAATACCACTTTTTAGGGTGACTGGCAGATGTGTATGTCCAAAACAGGATTCTATTGAGACGAAATTATATGAATGTTTGGTACTCTCCAGTCTTACTGTCTATATTTTGCAGCTGTAAAGTAAGATGGAGATCAGCATTGTGCTATATACTAGAGGCATTGCCGGAATATATGGATATTCTAGTGTTTTTATAAGCAAAGTAAGGCAATAAAATTTGATCAACTCCCTTGTACTTTACCGGTAACCTAGGGACAACAAATCCTTTGAAACTAATATAACCGTTTGAATAATGAGAGCAGACAATGTTTTTCAATACACTGAACAAAAAACCCGTGTAGCTCATCTATATCAAACAAAGAACACTAACTATCGCGATATAATGTAAACCAAGTTATACAGTGAGATTGGAGAGTAACTTGAATATTAATGAGGGAACCGTGTTGCGTAATCTGCTTAAGTTATCCTTCTAATTTTAGTTATTCAAGTTCTGTATTCATTATTTTTGTAATGTACTTTTTTAAACTTATAGAACCGACTTTTTTCCTGGTTTGGGTTGGATGTTATTAAAAAAATTCTGGTTGGAAATTAGAGGAGGCTGGCCCGATATATACTGGGATGAATATTTACGTAATTCGAATGTACGAAAAGGACGTGCGTGTATTCGACCAGAAATCAGTCGTTCTGTCACCTTCGGACGGATAGGCATATCTCAAGGTCAATATTTTGATAGCCATTTAAAGCATATCAAATTGAATGATGTAAAAGTTGATTTTCAGCAACTGAACTTATCCTATTTAAAAGAAGCAACATATCGTGAACAGTTCAAGCGATTAGTCTATCAAAATTCAATAGAGATGAATATCACCTCATATTCCAGTAGTCGAGTGCATATTTCAAAAATTTATAAACCGATTCGAATCACCTATCGAAATCGTGCAGAATTCGAAGAGATAGCAAAACACTTTAATCTTATGTCCGACTTTAAATCTGGTGTCAGCCGTAATGCCTATATGGGAGTGGTGCCTATCTATGTGGAAAACCATCAGTTGTATATTTCACCGCCTACGGTATGGCCAGGGTACAATGAATCATGGGTTTAACAAACTGTATGCCTATTTATGTAATGTATTTTAGTCAGGATAAGATTACAAACTTTTTCTCTTTCATTTTTGTTTTGTGTTTTATTGAAGAGAGATTTTACAAAATTGATTCTTAATTTCTTTGCCTTTTGGTGTGTGTTTTTCCGTTGTTAATGTAGTGGGTATGGAAACTGGGGATTGTATTGTTACTAGTTGATAAACACTTTCTTATACATGTTTTGTAGGAAACTGTTATATCGTTTAATTTGTCTTTCATGTTCTTATGGTGATGATATTTTCTAGGTTTTATTAGCTATTGAGTTGTACTTTATATTTTAATGGGAAAGAATAATTTATCCTTGTTAGTCTTTATTCTAAGCAGACAAAGCCTTATGTGATGTATATATTTGTGCATTGTACAAATGGTCATTTAGTAAAAGACGACCAATACAGCGTATATATATGTAAAACGGCTAAGAATTATGTGTATTCAATATGGTAAACTTTTGTTTTGCACTTCTACACGATACTATTTGTGGAAACTGCTTTAAGTTGTGCAAACATTACCTTACTTTATATTTTTATTTTGTATAAAAGAATTGTTCAATTGATAACTGAATACCAAATATGTACTTCTTTAAATATCTTCCTATGTGTATTGTTTACAGAATAAACTTATTATTACTTGTATGCATATGTTAAGTTGCAAAAAAACTACAGAATTAAAATACTTTTGCAGGTTGATTTGTTTTCTAAGCTAAAGTTTGGATTGGCAGAATTTTTCAGAGTTCAGACAGATCAGCGTAGAACCTCACACACGACTGCATCGGTTCAAGCTGCCACACTTCACAGTAGTATACGAAGAACAGGTGGATAGGATAAGAATGATACGAAAGTGGAAGAAGTTGTGTTAGAGGATAAACAATTTGAAGATAAAAGTTAGTGCAAATATTCAAGCATTAGATGTCAAGAAGTGTATACATCTCCCTCACTGTGACTGATTTCCAGACATGTCCCCAAGAACCAGTCCTCATCCATTGATTACTTTCGTTTCGGGAAGCCCAGCCAGGAAGTCTATATCTCCCCACACGACTCTTACCAACAGTCAGAGGCTTCATCAACTAGTTCCCCGTCTTGATCTGGTCAGTACTAATGCACACTTAACAACAACCTGTTCAGCGACTGTCATATCCACCGGGGCAAATATCACTTCTGTGCTAGGTATGACGTATTCGGGTTTTAAATGACTTACTGCAATTTTGAAGTTCATTCCTTCTTCGAGTACTTGTGTTCCTTCTAAGCCTAATTATCTTCACAAGCGATTGATCACCCACTCTGCCTTACAAGAAATTGTGTTACCTCATTCTTCTCAGTGAGCTGTTTTTTTCAATTTTTTGTTCGACATTCTCTTGGATCCTTCTAGAGAGCAGTTAATTTTGCTCTGTCGTTTCCGTTGTAAGTTAATAAATTCTGTTGTTTATTACCTTCATAAGTTTACGAATGAGTTGTCCAACCTTATTCCAATTGATACTTAACTTTGTAACGATTGTACCAATTTTTTCTTTTAAACAGAGTTTGCTAATATGTTATTTTTCCCTTTTGACTTTCTCCGTTGATATTGGGGTGCATTGACAGAGATATTTATATGGTTGATGGACAGTGGCTAGCAGTGAAATCCAGAATGCAGTGGTTTGTGAATCGTGATTCCTTTTTGTGAAAGTAGTGTGAGTTCGCTGACTACCTTTCGATCAAGAAGACCATACACCAGTAATATAAGTATGAAGGTTGGGCACTGTGATACAAAAAGTGACAGGACTGTAAAAATTAGATGTTCATAGTTGTGGGATTGCATTAATATGATTATGAGCAATAATTTATGCTGAAAACGTCATCAAGTAAATAATACTCTCTCCTTGTGTGCTGTGTATCAAATAAAATCACCAATGTGGAATGACATTCTACCATAGTGCCAAAGTTTTACACATTAATTTTTGAACTACAACTAGAGATATGGGTAACTAACCTAAGCATTCGCCTTTTAGATAATAGATCTGATACTCTTATCCTGCTCTACGTATTTTTTTTAATTTTTGAACAGGGTAGTATAATAGTCTTTCATATTTGAACTAAATATTGGTTGACTACTGCTTCCAATTTCAATCACGAGTGGTAGAATGTCCTGTTGTCCTAATTTCTCCATGGCCTTTTGCCACGTCTTATCTTATGAAATGGATATAAAGTAACTTTCATGTGCAGTGAAACATTTATGCTCTGCGGTTTAGGAAATAAACAAAGTAAGAAAAAAGCCAGCATAAGGCTGAAAATCATTACTACACTTTGGTATGCAGTGCTAATTCTCTTACATACTACGACGTTGTCCAGATTCGCCTGCCGATATTCCCTAACTCCTCAAGGACGACTCCTTTGTCGCACCATCTTCTTGCATAACAGCCAGTCATGGATTAGCTCCACATACTGCTCTTGTTGCCTCTTGATTTCTTCCATGGTCGTCCCAAAACATGGGTGCTTCTCTGTATTAGATTTGTTAGTTTCATTTATAACACAGTAATACAGTATTATTTACTTGATAACGTTTCGAGGACAAATTATTACTCATAATCATATCATTGTAATCCTATTACATTCGATATCTGATTTCTCTAGTTCTGTCACTTCATATTACTTATTTTTATTAATAGGAAATTTTTCCATATCTCTGGTACAGGTGTTGCGTCATTTCCATCGTATGTGTTGGATGTTGATTCATTGAACAAAGATTCAGTAATCAGTCGCCCTCTCTACCTGGTTAGATTGGGTTGATGTTCAGTTCAGGTTTAAATGCCACCCTAATTCCAGCCTTTTTGAGGATCGTACGCAAAGTTTCTGATGTACTCTCCTTATGGGGTAACACAATGGAGGCTGTGAACTCCTTACTACTCTTGTTGTTATTATTATTCGTACTCGTGTTACTGTTATTATTTCGTTTCTTATGTGTTCATAAGAGTTTCCTAATAAACTGTAAACACTAATTATTAACTACCAGCACTTTTATGTGCTTCAGTTCGTTGTTTAAGTCCTCAACAAAGCTGAAATTAAGGTAGCATTTAAACCTACAAACTCACTCAGAGATAAACTTTGTCGGCTTAAGGATCCAATCTACATGAATGATTCTACTTTGCCAAATTGTAGAATAAAGATGGTATCCATATATGGTGTGTAGTGTGAAGTGTATGAATTGCAAATTGAGATTTGTATGCACACATGTGTTGATTGTTCTTATCGTATGTCTGTTAGTTATATCAGTATGTGGGAGTGGTTTCAGACCAGGTCAAATTGCGTTTTAATCCCTCATTCCCACTTAGATAATTTTGATTCCACTTTATGTGAGGAGATTTTGCTATGAGACGTTCTGTATAGTTTCTAAAGCCCTTCTAAGTAATTTCGATATTGTCAAAATCGACCTTTTGACCTGAAGTTACAGTGTGTAAACCAGTTATGGCTGATGTGTTTTCAAGTTTTTTCACTTTCACTTAATTTCTTGGAAGTTGTGTGGAAGCTCTTCGGTGTTCTTTTAGAATTTTGATTTCACTAGAAGTCTGTCCTATGAATACTGCATTACAGTCTGAACACTTTATTTTATAAACATAATTAGATTATGAATCCAGGGGGATCTCATCCTTCAAATGAACTAAGGTGCTCTGCAATGTGTTTAATCTTCTGTAGAACACTGATATTGTATTTATTGAACACTCCTAATTTCATTCGATGTGTATGATCCGTATGGGATAACTATTATTGAAGCCCATGATTTACGATCTAATTTATTGTTATTCTTTACTTTATGGATGAATTTCACTGGATAATTGTTCACAGATTTTAATTCCGTAACTAATTCATTTTTATCGGTTACTAGAGTGTGTGCTGTCCTTAAAAGACTGGAGATAACAGAAACTTTCTCACGAATTGAATGTAATGAGTTGAAATCTAAATATTTGTTCGAATGCTCTGCCTTTCATAGAATGGTTATATCTAAATGTTCATTTTCTTTCCACTTAACAAGACAATCAAGGAAAGGTAGTTCCCCTTATCCGTTTCTTTTTTTTGAACTGAACTTGACACCGGTGATCTAGAGCTCAACTGTTCTTAGGATGTCTGCTGTAAGTCACATTTTAAAATTACGAATGTGTCATCAACATACTTCAGCTATAATTTCGGCCTTAGTAAATGAGCTAAGACACCTTCCTCGAGCTTACTCATAAACAGGTTAGCTACTATGCGTGAAACAGATGAATCCACAGCAACACCGTTGGTTTGCCTGTATAGTTTGCTTTAAATATGAGGTAAATAGTCTACGCAAAATTTTAACGCCTTAATGATGTCTTTGGTATTCAGTAGACATCTTCTTGTCAATGTTGTTTCTGTCAAATAAGTTCAAAATAATATCTAGGCTGTCAATGATTAAAATACTAGTATATAAAGGATTGCTTTCATAGCCTACCATAATTCCATCTTCCTGAATTTTAAGTGAGGAACTTTTGGATTTAAAGTCAAGTGAGTCTCTTATTGTGAATTCTGAGTGTTTTGTATATTGGTTTTGGTATTGAAGCCAGACATTTAGATAGGTTGTATATTGGTGTAGTTCACAATTGGTGTTAGTGGAATGGTAGGTTTGTGAATCTTGGGTAGATCGTAGAATCTTTAAGGTATGTAAGACTTAGGTTTCATTTTGAACAAAATTGATCTGCTGACTTAAGGTTTCATTTCTTGAAGTAGTTTATTAGTGTTGAGTTTCTGTGTATTCATTTCGGCTGATGTTTTTTTCTCATCAGTCAAAAAGTGTGATCTTTTTACACTGTTTGTTCTCACTGCTCCCTATGAAGTTTACTCCATCATGTCTGAAGTATCCAATCTCTCCAACAATACACAAAAACCAATGATATATAGTTTGCATTACAAGAATGATGCATTTCCTTCACTTATTTCATTATTATATGCATAAATACAATTAAGAATCTCCTTAGCTCTGAAGAGAAGTTAATCTTCGTTCTGATTACATTCACCGATTTATTTTAACCCGCGATACTACACATTAATTGATTTGGTTAAGACTAATTTATGCAATTAATGAGGTTTTTATGTTCATATTCTCTCCTACAAATATGAATTCAAGGCACAGAAAAGCCAAAGATACACAACTTCACATGATTCGATAAGTTATTTACAAAAATAATGGCTTGTCGCCATTAACATTTAATTTTGTAGGACAATTAAAATTCTTGCGAAAATGTTTACTACATCCCTCTGGTATAAATGGTTCTCATTGTAAAACATAAAAAATTATCTATCACAGTGCTAAATGAATAAGAAACAATTAGTTTACGCAAAAGTATGACGTGAATGTCATTGAATTGTCTAGGAAAATAGAAGTTGAGTTTCATATTCGATCATTTATTTGATATAGTATACAATGATACAGTATTATTTACTAGATGAATATGTGCAATAACACTGCATCAATGTGTGTCATGGCCTTCGATAGCATTGACCGAGAAGTAATTTGGCAGTTGCTTCAACACTACTGAGTGCCACTAGTCTTTATCAACCTCATTCAACAGCTATATGACGACGCCACATGCCAAGTGATCCACAATGGAAAGCTCAGCGACGCGTTTGAAGTGAAGACAGGAGTAAGATAAGGCTGCTTACTGTCACCCATGATCTTCGTGATTGTAGTGGACTGGACCATGCAACAAACCATGAAGAACGAAAAGATGGGCATACGCTGGCTGGACCGATGAGAAGACCCTAGAAGATTTGGATTTCGCCTACGATGATTTATGTCTGATGTTTTGTCGCAGAAACTCGAAGATCTACAGGCGAAAACTAACAAGTTGACAGAAGAGGCAGGACAGCGAAGACGGGACTTCAAGTGAATGTAAAGACGACGGGGGTGATGAAGATACCCAACCAACAACAACATCAACAACAAGCATCAATCACCATTAACAGTAGAAACCTAAAGGAAGTAGTCTCTTTCACCTACCTACCTAGGCAGGATCGTTTCAACTACAGGTGGCTCAGGCACAGATAAGGATGTCAAAACCAGGATGGTAAAGACAGCATGACAGGCTTTCATTAATCTGAAATCATTGTGGAGGTCTACTGCACTCAGCACAAAGAACAAGATCCGGATTTTCAACACTAATTCAGTCAAGTCAGTGCTTCTATGTGATGGTTGAGAGACTTGGAGCGTTACGAAAAGCATTTCGAACAAACTACAGACATTGCTCAACAGCTGCCTACGCTCGATACTGAATATCAGATGGCCGGAATAATAAGCATGAGCAATAAGGAACTCTGGCAACGAACCAATTGAGAACCTATTGCCCAACAAATATGTAGAAAGTGGAGATGGATTGGGCATACACTGAGAAGGGCCGACTGGGGACATCACGCACCCGGCCCTCGAGTGGAATCCAAAGGGGAAATGACGAGTTAAGTGTCCGAGGCGAGGCTGACATGGAGGAGATCATGTGAGTAGGAAATGAAAGCTTGTGGGCAGTAGTGGAGCCAGGTTGAAAAGACTGCA